ATTAGAGTACAAATAGCACAGGAGATAGCCTGGAGAGAGCACAAATATCCTGCAATGTTTGTACTCTAGGTTATTTTGTACAGTTAAAACCGGTTTTGAATACTATTTTTTTTCAATAATTTTCGCTTTACATATTAAACATTGAGTGTCATATTTCCCTGTGTCTGTTGTCTGCGAGGCAGACCCACGAGTTAGCATCGTCCCCGTATCCTTCCTCGATTTTCCAAAGTTTTTCTTTTTTTCAATAATTTTCGCTTTACATATTAAACATTGAGTGTCATATTTCCCTGTGTTTTACTCTAATTTTTATTGAATGGATAGAACTGTGGTGAAATAATGATAGATGTGTTGATCATCATTTTTGGTAAAAAATTTGAGTTGATTTCCAAAAAACGCATATAAAGGTAGATCAATCAATGTTAAATAGCTTTCTCGGATTTTTGAGAGAGATTTCTGCAGCTAACGATAGATGAAAAGCTCTTTCTATGTCAACTACAACCAAATATGGAATTGATCATACCATATATGGAGTGAGCTTTCTCTACTCCAACTTCGACACTAACATATAGAGTGAAGCTTGATATGAAGTCTTCTTTTTGGGAAAATGTAAGCTCAGTTGGATAATAAATAACATATTAGACATTTTAGAGTGGAATATGAGTGGATATCTTTTCTCGTCTTGCCCTATCCGGCTTGCCAAAATACAACAGACTCGAAAAGATATCCATTGCATTCCACTTTAAAATGTCTAATAAAAAATCTATTTATTTTATATAATGCTAACTCCTTATCTATTTCATTCAGAGCATCAACAGGTTTAGTTTTACAGTAAATGTATTGTTCCTAATGAAAGTGTGCTTAAAATTTTCAAACTTCAAAATTATTCAAAATTGTCCAAAAATTTGTTTTATTTCTGTTTACTTTCTTTACAGTGTAAACATCTTCTGATCAGTCTTCAGTATGATACATAGTTCTTTCCCCCCTGGTTATCCACCCTTTCCCTCCCCCCACAATGTATTATGAGAGGGTGCACCCCCTCCC